GCTCTCAAAACCCTGCATCATCTGAAAAGATATATGAAAAACAGAATGAAACATTGATATTTTTAAGTGAAGAAAAAAAGGTTTCTAAAATGTTTTATTGTTTTAAATAAACAGATTAAATGACATATATTAACTCCTGGAAGTTTTGGAAGCCTTCTCACTTTACTGATAGAGAGTGGGATTTAACAACTCAGTTGCTAGTAGCTTTCCCTCCATTTAGTCTTTGTGTGAAAAACACAATAAATGTTTTCTTTAATAGTCATTCCAAATTGAGTTGAGAAATCATCTTTTGGAGATGCAAATTCCTGCTTTGGGTAGAAGACTTGTCATTGTTAATCTTCATAGTTTCTTTCAACCTTGAATTCTCCTTAATCACAGTAAACATTTTTTTTTTTTTTTCTAGTTTGGGAAGGTGATCCATGTGACTTTTGCTTTCTAATAGAATTGTTATAAATAAGAAAAAAAAAAAATCTCAAGCCTTTCTTCACATCAGGGACCAAACATTCCCCGTTCCCACACCATCTGGTAATTAGCTTGACAATTTTTCCAAAGATAGTTTAAAAATTAATGAAAAATTCTCCATATGTATATTTTCTTTATAGTAATAGAAAAAAAAAAGTTCTCTAAGGAAAACTTTCCCAGGTTAATTTGCAATTTGGGTTGCTAGTAACTGGCAGCCTGTGTGATGGCTCAATGCCTCAATGTTAAAAATGAGAAGGAGGCCAAGTCTAGTGAATAGAGGTCCTCAGACAATTGCTATTTTTATTCCTTCCTCTGGTATCAAGTGTAGGAGAGGAGGGGAGACTGGAGATACAACAGAACCATTTTTTATTGCCATCTTTCACTTCAGTCTAAATGAAGGTATGTGATAAAGAGATGAAGAAATAATATCCTTTTTTTCTTATTTTTCTTCAGTAAAGGAGCTTAACTCCAGTAAACAGTATATTTAAAGTTCATTGAAAAGATTAAAGAAGTTAATGCCTCTTAATATAAGGAAAATTATTTTATTATAATGTTTTCAGACATTACAATATAATGGCTAATTTATTCCAAATATGTATTGGGAATATATTCATCCTAGATATATTGATTTTTTAAAAATAAATTTTGGAAGGGGAGAAGAACCAAAGCCATCTACCAACAATTCTTCTTTGCCCTTTTCATAAACATCACTAAGTCCATCCTGCTAACAGAGACTGTTTCAAAGCAGTAGAAATTCTTTTTTTTTAAATTGCAAAGGTAGGATTAGTCAACTAAAGACATTTCTTAAATAACAAAAGACAAATAATTTTTCCAAGCTATATATTTTTCTAAGTTGAAGCATGAAAGATCAAGTATTTATGGTAAAATAGTCATAGTTAAGTACACTGAATTCTAGAAAAGTGTGAAACATTGAAATGGATTATTAACATTATCAGGGTCTTTGTTGGACACAGGAACTTCTGTATTTATTGTTATAAAAATTAAAAAAAATTCTTTCAGATGTTGATAGATCTTTATTTTATTCACTTATTTATATATGGTGCTGAGAATCGAACCTAGTACCTCACACATGCTAGGCAAGTGCTCTACCACTGAGCCAAAAACCCAGTCCCTAACATAAAAATTTAAAAGGTTACATTCCTCTTTAGAGTCAGAGAAATCAATAAAATTGATTTAAAATTTAAAACAGCATCGTATATGTTAAACATGGATAGAAAAATTACATTTGTTGCTTTTTCCATGTTTTTCAATTAAGAACTTTTTAAGGCTTTAGTAGAAATTAGAATAAATGTCATTGTAAAAATGTTACCTATAATTTTTGGCTGTTTAGTTCGTACAACGATACTCAAAAGTTCTAAGTTTGTGATTATAGCAATAATTACATGAATTTTTAGTAGTTTGTGCTACAAGGTACCTTGCATTTTAGCATGTTATTTTTTTTTTTACCTTTGTTTTTTTTGTTTATTTTTATGTGGTGCTGAGGATTGAACCCAGGGCCTCCCACGTGCTAGGTGAACAATTTACCGCTGAGCCACAACTCCAGCCCCCTAGCATGTAATTCTTATAATTAAAATTATCTGACATTAAACAAGAACTCTGCTTCAGAGCACTGCTTAAATATAAAGGCATACCATCTGAGGAGTAGAATGAGACTGACTTGTCAGCCTTGATCCTGCTATTAGCTCCCTTGTAGTTGACCATGGAATAAAAAGATAATATGAATGAATCTTTTGCTAATGGCATCTGGTTTTATACAGTTACCCTTGCATGAGCAATACAGGTATGGTATGAAATTCAGAGAAGTTCCTAAATCACTGTGGCTGGTTTACTGAGGTGTGATTGTGTAGCTATTAGAACAGACCCTGCAGTGCCATTCAAATCTAAATGCCCCATAGCTGTATGCTTGGGTGATTAGTTAATCTATTGGGACTTTAGTTTTGTTGTCTTCATCTGTATAAATAGGGTTGTTATAGGTTAAGAAAATGTATACACACATATAAATATATATATTTTAAACATGTAAGATATGTATGTACACATTAGACATTTGCTTTTGATACATATGAATGTATATTCACTTACTTAGATATATGTATACATATATATACACACATACACACTTAAAACAGTTCTTGGCATGTGGTAAATGCTACTTAAATATTAACTATCATTACATTGCCTTATTTCTCTTTCTGATGTATTAAAGAGTAACCAAATTAAATGATTTCATGTTTCCTTTATTTCTTTACTTTTTCCTTAAAGGTTTAAAGGGTGCAGCAAAATATCACCATTAAGAAGTTAAGTAAACAAGAATGAGAAGCCCTAAAGCAAGGTGCTGAGTTAATAGGCTAATAACTTCCTGAACACATACTGGCTCTTTGTAGAACCAGCAGACTGTTAATGGGCTTTTGTTTTAGACATGATAGATTGATATTCCAGGGACAGAACTGATGAGAGCCCTCATAACCACTGCCTCATCATTATCTATTACTAAAACAGCAAATAAGCATAATCTCATATAAATTAAAAAAAAAATAGAATGTGGGCTTCGCAAGGACAGAGATTTTTGTGAGTTCACTGCAGTATCCAGAGTCCATAAAATTGCCTAGAAAATAGTGGAAGTTCATTGAGTATTTCTTGAATGAATTGAGCAAATGTAATCCCTGACCTTTCCTTTTAACAGGATTAATATGGAAAGCAAAACAAAATGGAATGCTTTCCTATTTCTTGACAGATTTCTATCCTTGGGAATGCTGGTAGGCAGGTAAGCAGGGCTGAAGAGCGGTATGCAAAGGGCATACGTGCAAATGTGTACAGTTAGCAAATATTTCAGATGTCATGGATTTGGTTGAGCATTACAGGAAAGGTGTGGTGTAGTGATACCACTCTTAAGATTCATGTGCTCTTGTCACATTTGTATATCAAATATTTTATCTGCATAACTTTAGTATCTATCTATGCTTACACATTTTTCTCCCCAAATTTTCAAAAATCTTTGACTTCCGACCAAGTGTCATAGAGAACTTAAGTGAAACTTTCTCAGCAGTTAGCTTTCTTTGAAGTTTCTACTCAGCTTTGAGTGTTTAAAATAATCAGTTTGACACAATCCCTTTCACTAGTAGGGTTGATAACATAGCACTACTTATGTTTTAGGTCACAATCTCAGAGAGTGAATTGAAATAATAAAACACTCTTAGAACTAGATCTGACTTAGCCAGATCTAAGTACATATTCTTTTCTATTCCTATAGCAAACATTTTCAAAAACAGAAAAACATCTCTTTTTACAGCATTGGTGCATGCATGACTACACACTGTAAGTTTTTAAAATTATCTTTGTAATGAAAACTGGAAAAGTACTAGTCATCCTTAGCTAAGCTATACCCTATATATTTGCATTTTCTAAATATAAGAAAAAACAATAAATAACCTCAAAGTGCATGATTAATTAATTAGACATAATTTCTTAAAATGATTTCCATCATCTCATTTAACTTTGAACTTTTCAGACACTAACAAATCACCAAAAAGCTATCATTGATTTATAAAGTACATTACCACATCAGGCCTAACCCAGAACTCTGGGCCCATAAGAAAAAAGAAAGGTTTACAAGTGAACCAGGACAGAAACATGCTGAAAACATCTATTTGTAATCACAGAAAACAATTAGGCCTTACTGTTATTAGAGTGAACATTCAGGTTCATTTTATTTCAAGATACTGTGTTTCTATGCTTGAAGCTTGGGTAGTGTTAACTTTACTTGGCCCTTGGACATATAGGGTAAACAATTTATATTATTGCACAGTAACAAAAATACAGCCACAGATAATACAGGATCCAATCAACATTGATAGGCTTGGTAATTAAGGCTAACAAACATTGGAAAACAGTCATTTGTAGGATGTGATCAAATATCCTAACACAGTGTCACCTGTTTGAGTTACTAGAAAAGATTTCTTATTTCAAAATATATTCATAGTATTCTTTTTTTTTTCACATTTGTCAAATTCTTTTTATGTGTGCAAGACAGAGGCACTTTAAAGAGCTACCAACTGCAACTTCGTAAGTACCAGACTTATAGTTTCCACCATCATTGGTAAATATGGTAAAGAGTGAAAATGAAATTGGATTAGAAAGCAATTAAACAAACCATTAAATCAGAATTTTTTTTTAAAAAAATTCCGTAAAAATCATTGTTCTCTGGTTTGAACTTCCATATTATAAAAGAAAAAAATAACAGCTATCACCCATCTACATCCAGCCGAGTATTAACAGCTTTCCAATGTTAAGGTATAATGGTTTTGCTGTTTGGGCTTGTAAAGGTTTAAAATATCAATGAGTTAAGTACTTTATTTTTGAGTTTTTCAAAGTATTGTATTTTACATAGGTTCTAAGTAGTCAGAAAAGCTAAGACGTCGAATAAAATCTATTGGAAGCGTTTAGTAAAGTGTATAAAAATTAAAGGACTTAAAAAAAAACCCACTTCATTTTAAGTGTAAAAATAATTTGCGTCCATTTGTGGGACTCCAATGACTTTTTCTCTTCTCTTTATTTTTTTTTTCTTATTTCCCGGGGTCTTAGTTAGTTGGTACATACTGCACCCGCCACAACACGTTGGAAAGCAGGTCCTGGTACACACTAAGGAATATCCAGCCAGGTAAATACATCAGGGTGATGAGACCCATAAAATTGAGCGGGTAGTGAGAATAGTCCCAGGAACAAGCCCCACACGTGCGAAGTCCCAGACCCCAGGACAATTCCCAAGCATAGATGAAGATCACGTAGATGGGTACCCGCTTCCAGGTGCCCCAGCCTCGGCTGTAGTGGAGGTGGAAGTAGAGCTTTTCCACCACAAAACTGCAGCTGCCATACATAAAAAAGGACCATAACGACGTGTGACCATTGGTTGCCCCATCCCCGTGTCCTAGCACATTAAAGAAGAAGGTAAAGAAGATCTCATCCAAAAATCCATGCATTCCGAAGAAAAGAAAACGGAGCAGGTCTGGTAGCCCCTGGTTAGGGGTTCCTACTGCGCCCTTGGGGCCGCGGGGTCGTCGCCGCCGGCCACTGGCTCCCGAAGGGGCCCGGGCTCCAGGAGGGGCAGGGAGGGCGCCCCTCCGCTGCTGTTGCTGCTGCTGCTGCTGCTGCCGCCGGTATCTCAAGCGCAGGAAGCGTTTCAGGAACACTTGGCAGTGGTAGAGCGCCAGCACGTACTGCAGCGCCAGGTCAAGCGCCCCTGGCGCCGCCGCGCCCCCCGGCCCGCCACCCAGGCTGAGCAGTAGCGCCTGGCCGGCCAGGGTCTGCAGCCCCACGTGGGCCGAGGGGTAAAGGAAAAAATTGAAGACGAAGGCGCTGGGGCAGCGCGGCTGCTGCAGGTAGATCTTCTCCAGGGCGAAGTGGGTGAGCGAGTGCAGGAGACAGCGGTAGGGCGAAGAGAAGCCTAACATCCGGAGGTCCGGGCTGCGAGCGAAGCGCCGCGCCGAGGACACCAGCACGTCCAGGGTGATCCCGTGCATCCCATAGAAGTAGAGGCGCATCCAGGCGGGCAGCGCGGTGCCCTCGGCCGACGCTTCAGCAGTGGACAGCGGCTCCGGGCAGCGGGCGGCCGCCTCGCTTCCCAGCCCGCTGGGGGGCCCCGGACGCCGCACCGCGCCGCCCCTCTGTGTCGGCCCCTCGCTGTCCACGTCGCTGCCGGCCATGGGCTCGGAGGCCACTCGGGCGCCCGAACCCGCGTCGCGGCCGCCGGGTGCGCGGAGCTGCGAGTCGAGCGGCGGAGCCCCGCGTTGCCTCCCGGTCGCTGCCGGTCTCCGGGGGGCGAGCGGGGAGCTCCGTCCTGGTCGCGGTCCCGGCCGCGGTCCCGTACAGCCGGGGTTTGTGCGCTTGGGGGATGCTAGGGCCGCCTGGCTTGCAGAGTCCCCTGCCTTGCCCCTGCCGCGCCCTCCTCACCAGTCCCGGGCGACGTGAGGCCGGCGACGCCCGCGCTTACTCTGCGCGGCCTAACTAGAGCGGCGGCTGGGCGAGGGGAAGCGAGGCCGGGCTTCGAGGAGAAACGCAGAGGCTGGTACGAGCACCATCCCCTAGGCGGCTCAGCCCCGCCGCCTCTGCCGCAGGCTCTGGAAGCGTAACGCGAGCAGCAACGGCCCTTCCCCCGGCCTTCCCTTACCCCTGTCCGACCTCTCCCGCCTTCGCAGGCCCCCCTCCCCGCCCCGGCCTGGCGCGCCGAGTCCCGAGTCTCGCGGGGGTCTATTTCAGAAGGCCGGGTCCCACTTCTCGGTCCTTTTTCACCCGCTCTGCACCCGGGTCCCAGGCGGTGCGGGGGTTGCTAGCTGGGCGGAGACGCGGAGTGGAGAAACACCTAACAGGTGTGAATGCGAGCTGTTGGACATTCCCGGTGTAGCGGAAACCAGGGCCAGGCCTTGGCTGGCGGAGACGAATGGCTGGGCGCCACCGGCCGGAGGCCAGGCCCAAGACCAAACTATGGTGCTGTATATTTAATGTTCTTATTCAAAGCCAGCTGTGTCCCAGTCACAGAGAGTAAACCGGGGACTCCACGCCTGCCTGCCCGAGCATAACACTGAATCTGAAATGCTGCTGCAGGGCCTGATCCACTTTTTCAGTCTCTTTCCCTGGTCCCTGTGCTTTCCTAGGGCCAGTTTACTCAGGGTCAAGGACAGAGACTCCAGAAGGTTGAGTTGGTTGGGGGTGTTGAAGGTTGAGTTAGTTGGGGTGTTGGAAAAGAGGAAATGTATTGCTCTGGCTACCTCGGGGTGAGTCTCAAGTGAGAATAGTATCTTTGCTCCGACTGGCACGCCCCAGTGCTGTTTTTTTTTTTTTTTTTTTTTTTCCTCTTTGTGGAACTAGGTCATCCCAGAAAGAGTGAAATAAAGGGTCTCTTTCTGTCTCTTCTTACTTCTTCCTCTCTTCCTCCCACTCCCCTCTTTTTCCCTTTTCTTCTTCCCTCCCCTCTCCTCCTCACCTGTCCCCTCCCCTCCCCTCCCCTCCCCTCTTCTCTCTCTTAGAAGGAGAAGGTGTAGGGGGTTGAGAATGTTGATGTGTTGTTTTCTACATTTTTCCCCCCAATTTTGTAAGCTTCGAATTGGAAAGAACCTTAGAAGTCAATTACACTGATTAATTCCTTTCCCTAAATTCATGTCTAGGCACAAAGTAGGTATAGCTTTAGTTTAGTTTGTAAGGAGTTCAGATCCTGTCCTCACTGGATAAAAGGTCTTATGGGTTTTTTCCCCCGCTTAAAAATAAACATTCTAAGGCAGAGTTTTTTCACGTTTTTTATTGGTGCATTGCAATTGTACATAATGGTGGGATTTATTGTTACATATTCATATACACACAATATAACAATATAATTTGGCCAGTATCACTCTTTGGCACTTTCCCCTTCCTCCCTTCCTGCTTACCCCTGGTCCCTTCCCTCTCCTCTACTGATCTCCCTTTGGTTTTCATAACATACCCCCTTACCTTTTTTTTTCCTCCCTTTTCCTCTCTAGCTTCCACATATGAGAGAAAACTTTGACCCTTGACTTCTGACTTTGGCTTATTTTCTCAAGTTCCATCCACATTCCTGCAAGTGACATAATTTCATTTTTCTTTATGGCTGAATAAAACTCCATTGGGTATATGTATACCACAGACTTGTTCCATTGCTTGACTATTGTGAATTCTACTACTATAAACATGGGTATGCATGTATCACTATCTTATGCTAATTCTTTAGGATAAATACAGAAGGGTGCTGTAGCTGGCTCATATAGTGATTCCATGCCTGGTCTTTTGAGGAACTTCCATACTGATTTCCATAGTGGTTGTACTCACTCACAATTCCACCAACAATGTATAAGTTCTTTTTTCTCCACATCCTCTCCACCATTTCTTTTTGTTTGGAGATCATTTCTAAGACAACCTCCACCCCAGTATCTCCTCTTAATTATTTCAACCCCTCATGCTATAATCCATGGCAGTTATTTGTGAATTAGGTATGACAGAAATTAGCTTTGGTGCAAAGAAAAATTATGATAATAATCAACATTTGTATAAGGGTAAGATATTTGTTTTTCAGCTTTGTTAACATTGTTTATTTTGCTGACTCTTTGTAACTGTAAAAAGTCAGTGGGTGGAAGTTGTCATTGTCACTCCAGGGACAGAAGTGTCATATAGTAGGCTCATCAAGCTGCTGCAAACAAAAACAGGGCCAGTTACCCAATGTTTGAGCAACTACTATGATAATAATAATGTAATAAGATTCACTGTCTCCTTGAGAGGTATATAATTAATTGAATTGATATGAAAATAATCTATTATACCTGTGTAAAAACTTACTTATGATTAATGTTAATAATCAGCCAGTAGTATATATAAAATTAAATGATTCTTTTGACTTACTATTTTATTCAATAAAATCCATCCTGGTCCAACTTTATACATTAAAAACAAATGTGCTCTTTCTCCATAGTTGCTATTCAGACAAGGAAAAGCACTTTATTCTAAATATAGCAATATATAGTCAATATATGCTAGATTAAACTTGAATTATTTTGAAGTAATAAATAAAACTTCACTGGCGCAAGTCTTCTGTTTATTCTAGCTTTTCTTAATAATATAAGGAAATCTTGAAAGGTCTTATGCTATAATCAGATCTAGAATTCATCCCAGGGAGTGTAGAAAAATAGTTTGGTTTAAGAAAACTTGGAGATTCTATTTGTATATTTTTATTTTTTTACATTACATTTGATTTTTTTTTTCTCAAGGGTAGTACCCCCAGTGGGCTCATCTCTTAAAGGTTCCGTGATCTCTTACTATTCCCATAAAGGATCAAGCTTCCAGCACATGAACCTTTGGAGGACAAATCACATCCAACAATAGTACACAGCAATTATGCCAACCATGTTGCTGGATCTATGATTTCTTTTCTTTTTTTCTTTCTTTTTAATTTCACATGGTATTGGAGATCAAACTCAGAGCCACATACATGCTAGATAAGTACTCTACCACTGAACTATATCCCCATCTCTTTTTATTTTTTATTTTAAGACTTGCTAGGTTGCCCAGGCTGGCCTTAAACTTGAGTTCTTCTTGCCTTAGCCTTTGGGTTGCTGGGATTATAGGTGCATGACACATGCCCAGCTTTGAATGTATTTTTGTGTTGATCATTGCTGCTACAAGCCATAAAGTTTGCAGTAATATATTTATAAACCCAGGAACTTTAAAAAAAAACAAACTTGATGAACATGAGGGTGAAAGGAATGTAAATGAAGAAACAGGAAATAGCATCAATTTGAGATTCTTTAGGTTTGGGGACAACCATTAAAAACATACTTTAAAGTATTATTCTTCTGTGAAAGATTCAGGCTTCTTCCTTGCTATCAGGGCCCAAGAAGCTGTAACTTGAATGTAGAGATGTAACAATCCATGTGGAACCAACACTGACTTTAGTGGACTGGCCATTGTGGCTATACACTGGTACAACTCCTGGAGCCAGTGTGAACAGGAAAAGATTTAAGAGTTGGAAAGGTCTGTTCCTTTGGAGGATTGTGATAATCTTTAGTGAATTATTACCTAGTGGCTGCAAATTCAGTGTTGTAATCTTTTAGATGTATAGCAGGCTTGATACCTTTCATTGCATATAGGAGGAACCAAAAAAGTACAGAAGAAACACAGCATTAAGAAGAAAGCTTAGAGCTGGTTGTGGTGGCATATGCCTGCAATCCCAGCAGCTCTGGAGACACTGAGGCAGGAGGATCATGAGTTCAAAGCCAGCCTCAGCAACAGTGAGGCGCTAAGCAACTCAGTGAGACCCTGTCTCTAAATGAAATAAAAAATAGGGCTGGGGATTGGCTCAGTGGTCCCTGAGTTCAATCCTTGGCCCTGTGCCCCCAATGCCCCCCCAAAAAGAAAGCTTAGGCAAGTTCAGTAGGGTAATATGTGATGAATTAAGATTGACTTGCAGCTGCCTCCTAAAGGTTTTTCCATACATAGGTAAACTGTAACCTGCTCAGATGTGTAGGCATATTGTAAACTACTCTTATAACAAGTAGCCAAGTCTCATCCAATCACAAATGCATAAGTCCCTCTTCCTCATACCCTCTGAACTTCATTTAGAATGTTTTCCCCTGGATGCAGGGAACAAACCCAGTGCTTGATTAGCACTATACCTCAGGGCTACACCCCCAGCCTTAGGACTCCATTTTGAAAAGCTCTTGAATGTTGATTTCATTATAATTCTTCTTTTATTTTCACACTCTCCTCTGTCCTCTTTCCTGGGCCCCTCACCTAGTATTTAAATCAAGGACCCACACAGGCCCCGGTATTCACAACAGTCCTGGGCAACCTGTGGGTGCTGAGACCCAGGGGGACCAGGAGGGACTTTAGAGAAGGTAACTGTGTCTGACATCTCAGAGGCCTTCGGTAGAACAGAGTAAGCTGATAGAGTTGTTAGTTTGGTTTTGCCTTTTCAAAAGTAAACAAACAAAAGCTTAAAATGATGGCCGGCTTTGCTTTTCATAAGTAATTCAAACATAATTGTTAAAAATGGGCAAAATAGGCAAATGTAAGTGACATGGGCATTTATAAATGAACTTTTCATAGTTTCAAAAAACTTTTTTTGTGATAGATAATTAGATACCCAAGTCCTTTCTAAATAAAATACTAAAACATTGATCATTAATTATAAATTTAAAGTTTATGTACTTTA